TCCCCCACCTCGGCCCCAGAGCCTATGGCGCCGGAGGAGGTGGAGGCGCTGCAGAAGCTGCACAGCGCCTGGGACGCTGGACACTTCGATGCTCGCGGGTGGTTTTTGGTGGTCAACTAGGTCCCCCCAGTAGTGCCCTTTTACCGTTTCTTTTTTGGGGGAGGGTTCCCCTACTAAAATCGACTACGGAAAACAGGGAACCCTTATTCTATCCTCTCTACTCGAGGACCTAGTGAAAGTCCCCCTGTTTCCTGGTTTGTCTGTTGCCGTTTTTGGGTCTGATCCCCCCCCAATATGCCAGCTGCGCAGGCCCCGTGCGCACTTGAGTGAGTGAGTGGGTTCGTCTCAACGAAATGGGCTTCGGTCTCCTTTTGGTTTCCCGTTAAAACCGTCCGAGGGCAAGCTCAAAAAAACACGCTCACCTGAATTACTTCCCCCTAATTTCTCCCGCCCCCCCCCCTCCCCTCCCTCCCCGTATTCGAGTCACAATCGGAAGCACAAGGCTCAGGCATGCTGACGGGAGCAGGTCATGCGGTGAGAATCACCAGAGCACTTTCGGTCAGGCTGGTCTAAATGTGTGCAAGCCTTTTGTCTTTGGGAACTTCTCGTCTGCGCATCGCCCAGGCGATGCAAATCTGATCAAGGAGGCCTTGGAAGACAAGCAGAAGATGCAGAAGTATTCCAGGCTACACAGATGGAAACGAGCTGCGCTATCACTTTAAGGGCCTAAGCTATGCTCGAATTACTTTACGCAATGTTCAGTTTTGTGTGTCCCACAACCAAATTCCAAATATTTCCGGAGTAGGAGCTCACTGGTTGGTGGAAGCATTTTCCGCGGGTCCTTCTGGCGATCCAAAACCGACCTGACAAAATCATCTGGAGCATTGAGCTACTGGAGATGGGTTTGTTCAGTGGGGGCCTCCTATTTTGAGACACATCGGGGTTCCAACTCTTGCCTAGTTCCTAAAAGGTGCGTTTTGTAGACGGCACCTCTACAGGCCGATTTGATCTTTGAGCAGTATTCTGTGCTTAGTTTTCCAGTCTTGGGCCTTCTGTGCATTGCCTCCCCCGCGGAAAGAACAGTTGTACTTTTTGTTTTTGTCTTGGGTGGGGAGTCGGATATGGGTGTGTTTGTTTAGGGGACCCCCACACTTGATTGCCCTCTTTTTAGATGTCCTTTTTGAAAATCACACAAAAAACAAAAGCAAGGTACCCTCAAAAACAGCCACGCACACACACACGCACACACACCATATCACTCTTTCTGCAAACAAATCCAGCTTTGTCTTCTTGTGGCGTCGTCGGCGCGATGCCAAGGTCGTGCTTCGCGGCGGCGGATGTGAACGGGGACGGCGAGCTCAGCGGCTTGGCTGGTCAAAGTGTGATCCTGAAAGTGAAGGGTTTCTCTCTGAATTGGGCCGCCCCCGTATTTCAACCAAGGGGTTGACAAACCTGACTTCCAGTCTGGCTGCGAAGAACGGCACAGGCTTCGAGGAGCTGTGCAAGTGCATGCAGAAGATGAACGCCGAGCTGGGCATCGGAGACTTCACGGATCGCCACGCGCGCCGGCGGAGATCGACTGGGGCGATCGAGCGCAGCTTTTCGGTGGTTTCTTTCAACGAGGGGTCGTGGGTTGACTTGACTTGCAAGGCAAGTCTCAGGGCTGGTCGCCAAGCCTTTGTTCTTTTTCTCCGAGAAACTGATGAACCAATCTGGGAAGCTAATGTTTAGCCAGGTGTTTTTGCTTTCTGAGTAGGTGGCCCCTTGAAAACCTCGACATGTGTGGCGCCTGTTGGCCTCCCTTGGCTAGGCCAGGATGAATTGTTTTGGCAATTTGAAACATGACTCTTTTGAACGATTTAAAATGAGTCTTATTTTGGGGATCCTTAATGTTTGCCTCTGGCAGCCTTTCTTTTTGCACTTGCTGAACATGGCGAGGTACATCTAGCATGTTGGAGGCCAATTGGGTGGGGAGAGGGGAGGTTGTAATGATGGGTAAATCCATACACGACTCTCGGGATGCCCCAGGTGGAGCACTACATGCAGAGGTTCGACATCGACGGCGACAAGCTGTTGAATCCAGAAGAGCGGCCCTGCCGCATTCAGAATCGAGGGGTTTGTCATGGAGGTCCCGTTTCCCAATAGGAGTTTCCTTTGCAAATCAGGTTTGTTGGGCTTCACGTTGATGTAGCTTCACATCGGATGGTCTTTCAACGCCCTGCCACAATTTTAAGCTTTCTTCGGACATGGCAAACGTCCTATGAACACGGGTGTGTCTCATAGGAGAATGCGTTTTTTTCCTCAAAATCGTGGTTTTCCTCGTGGTTTCCCTTTAAAGGCACAAGCAAGGGGTTCGGAGATCCGTCAAGGACTGGTTGGCAATGTTAAACTTCAAGACCCGTTTCTCAAGGGATGATGTTCAGCCCGGCGGCCCGGCTCGGAAAGTCTGGGGCTTTTCGGCTTTACCCAAATCCAACCAATGCCATGACCAAAACAAACCCAACTTGACCAAAGCCAAGCCAACCAACCCAAAACCAACCCAACCATCCCAAGGTCCCAAGGTCCCAAACTAAGCCTACCCCAGCTCAATAAGTCAACCACGTCAACCGAAACTCCTCCAAGACCCGCGCGAGCGCCTCACCGCCCACCGCCCGCTTCAGCGAGCCGCCTGGAAGCCGCGAGGTTCCTGGAGCTCTACCGGACTCTGCTCATGGTGAAGCTCGAGGAGGTCGAGCCCGCGGACTTCTCCCGGAACATGTTCATCGGCCGCCGGAAGGCGGGGGCAAAGAAAGGCGGTACCCACCAAAATGTAGTTTTTTTTTTTTTTTTTTTTTTTTTGGGGGGGGGGGGCACAATAGACACTAAATGTCCACCCCCCAGGCATTTGGCAGGTGGGTCAAAAATAGGTACCAAAATGGAACCCTGGTAAACGGAAACATGGACCAAAAGCTGCGGTCCCCTGGTGGTTTCATTTTGACCCATACCCATTTCTTTGAATCCATTGGCAGGGCAAGGTGGAGGACGACTACCGCGTGAGCGGCATCATGGGTGTGGGATCCTTCGGGGTGGTGCGCAAAGTCCTGCCCCTTGGCGGCGAATTTGAAGAAGTGACGAGCGATGGGTTCGCGCCCAGACTCGATTCGCCCAAAGCGAATCGACCTTTTGATCTTTTGTGTTACCCTTTTTGGCAGCCTTTGTTTGGGGAACCCATAAAGATGCAAGCAACAAGACCAACAGCAAACTCAACCCGAACGGATCAACAAGCAGCCCATCAGGCAGATGTGCATATATATATATATTGTTCCCACGAGGCATTGGTTGTATGCCTTTTTCCAGCAGGGGTGCTTTTTTCAGCAGGGATGCTTTCTTCCAGGGGCTCCTTGCATAATTGCAGAGTGAACATTGTCAACTGGCATGGTGGTATCTGTCGCTGGCGGTCCTTGGAGCCTTCCAAGCGTCCGGGATCCCCAGCCAGGTGCCAGGCGTTTGCCTTTCGGGTTGGCTTTTGCGGTTGGCGCGACAAAAGCGTCTTGCCGGCGAGGTGCAGGAACACAGGCACCACCCGAGTCATGAAGGTCGTCGACAAGCAAAAGGCTTTGAGTGGCGGCGTCTTGGCGCATTTTATGCGCGCTCGAGGTGCGTTGTGCGAACGGATCAGGTGGCGTGGTATGAGTCCTTTCAGTTTTTAGGCACCGCTGTTTAACTGGATCAGCGTGCCTTGCTAGCTTTCTAGGACCAGCCAACCTTCTGAGTCGGGCGTCAAGAAATGCGATGCTGGCGATATGACCCGCCACGGCTCTGGAGCCGTCGCTGGCGCCGAGGCTATCCTTTGAAGCTGATTATGGAGGCCTTGGGTGGTGATGCTGCGAGCTCTTGGGGGTGCAGTTGACGTTCCACCCCCCCCCCCAAATTACAGCTGTCAGACTCTCTGCAGTTGAGTGGCCGTTCATTTGGAAGTACCACAGTTTGCATTACGCTAGTTATGTATATTCCTTGGCTGGAGCTGGCCATTGAAACGGACAAGCTTATTGGTAGTCTTCTGTTTGTTCATGCGCAGGGGCTCACGGGACCCTGTCTCTTACTTTCCCACACTCAAATGAACATGTTCCAAGCAAACCAGTAGAAAGGATGTTCCTCAAGACCCCGGAAAAAATCCATTCCCGTCCACTGATGACATGTTGTTTGCCCATTGGGGCAATGGCGTGCAAATTCGTGCTGCGCTTGGACAGTTACTTTAGCTGCTTGACAAGGGCAACGACCACATCATGTCATGGGTTCCAGAAAGGTCTTTTCTCAGTTCACACGGCAGAAACGCACAGTACCATGTTAGTGGGAGGCAGGGTCACCTTGCAAGTCAATTCTTTTTGCCAGCTCCTCGTAGGCAGCCTTCTTTGGGTCGGTGAGTTGCCAATTGCTGCACTCGGATGTTTCACGTCACGCTCTCAAAGCCTGGCTTCCCCAGGAGCCGGCCGGATGTTGTGCCCTGCAAGGAGATCGACAAGTTGAGGACCCTGGACCACCCCGCGGTCCTCCGGCTCTTCGAGTACTGCGCGGACGAGAGGAACCTTTACCTCATCACGGACTTGTTGCCAGGCGGACCAAAGTGGTCTAGGGGGACTTCCGGTTTCCAACTCCCTCACTTCTGCAGTGTGGGGCTTTTGGCATGCCCGGTCTGAGTTTCTCAAGCCAGGTTTGGTGGAGTGGGTGTGTTCGAGGGGGGTTGTGCGGTCTTGATGGGGGGGCGGTTGGTTGCAGCCGGTTGGCAAGGTTGCCCACGCTTTTGTCATTTTGTTTGTGGGGGGTTGCCCTTTGACGTCAGCCGACTCAGGACGGGGGTCCTTGTTTGCGTGTCAGGGGTCTCCCCAAAATTGTTTCGCTCGCTGGCTAGTGATCCTGCATCCCCCATGAAACCCGCAAGGACACGGAAGTTTGGAGTTTTTTTGTTTGTTCGACGTTGGGAGCCGGCAGTGGCCGAGGAAATGATGTGTTTGGCTTACCCCTCCCTGCCTTGTGGCTTCCATCGCTGCGAGTGTATGGTGCGTGCGTGTGTTTTGTTTTTGGAGGCGACAGGTCAGGCTTCAGGCTGGTTTTTTTTAGGGAAGCCAAAAGGGAAGCGCTTTTGGGGGCCAGACATCATTTTGGCACATACCCATCATATCATATGGGCGTGTCGATTTTTTTTGGACCCACTAAAAAGGTAGGTTTCCTTTTGGTTTCCCTTTAAGACCACATCAACCAGTGCCCTCAACAAAAAGACACCGTTCTTTTTGCCGGAATTCGACATCCGCCTTGGCCCGCCAGGGGGCGACTTGCTGGACGCAGTGGAAGGGTCATATAACAAGAAGAGGTACCTGCAGGAGTGCTCGAAGTGTTTGGGGGGCAGGAGGCGGTTCATTGTTGGGGTAAGCGCCAGCTGGTTACCGCGACCCTGATGGGCACCTGTTTGCTTGCTTTCTGGTTGGCTTGTTTGCTCATATCGGTGCCCTTTCTCGGGGTACCCTTTTTTAGGGTTGTTTTTAAAGAGAAACCAAAAGGACAACCACATTTATGTATATATATATATGTATACACATCTCGCGACGTACGCACATGTTGACACTTACCCACATTGTTGATTGTTGCTTTTTCTTCCCCACTGCAGTGTCTTGCGTGTGTTTGCTGCTGCGCAAAACGTGTTTCTTTAAGAGCCCCAGGTGCAGACCCAAACTTGGGGGATCTGTGGGCCTCACAAGAGGGGACTCATCGAGGAAGGGTTGTTTTCAATGGCTATGGGCTTCATGCGTTCTTTTTTCTTTTCTTGGCTCACCGTTCCACCCACGTGGAGCCAGACGAAGCCTCTGGAATCCAATCAGTTTGCCAGAGCTTGATGAGTCTCTGGGGCCCTGAGGCAGACTGAGACTCTGGTGGGTTCCGAGCTCGCTCCGGTGGGCCCTCAGAAAGCTTTGTATCTTCCGATTCTGGCTTCATGCTTGGCACATCCTCCCTTGGGATTCCCTTGGTCCACGAACCTTGTAGCGAGTCAACCCTGATCGGCGGATTCGTATCTCAAGCTCAAAGGGGCTATCACACAATTTTGTCCTAAGTTTCAACCACCATGCTGGTATCTCAAGCGCTACGTGTTTTGTTTTTGATTTGACTTGAGCAGCGTTTGAGTGGGCGAGCCTACTCCTTGGCTTAATGGCAACCATAGTGAGGCCTTTGAAGTTCTTAGTGAAAGAGGCCAAATGTATGCGTTGCCCTCGCGTTGGTTGGTTTTCAACGATTGAGCCAGGATGAACGCTTGGTCAGCCCCCGACCGAGCCGTGAGCAGATGATCACTCCACAAGGGTAGGCCGTCTCACTTGCCCAGACAGACCCCACCTTTCGACCTTTTGGTTGCCCCTGTCATGGCCCAAAGGGTTGACCTCTGCTTCGTGGGTCCAAACTGGGCAACTGAGCATCGGTCGCGTCGGTTTGCTTCCCGGTTTCTCTTGGCCAACTTTCTGCCCATGTGCCGCAGCCTCCGCTCGAGGAGCCCTGGGTCCGAGACGTTTTCCGCCAGGTCTCCGAAGGAGGGGAGGTTGGGACAGGTTGGAGGTGCTGGGGAGCTTGGGGAGGGGTTTGGAGGGGGGCGAAGGCGCGGGGGGTTTTGGGGAGCCCCACTTTCTGTGACAACCTCGGGAATCCTTTTAGGGATGTGGTTGTGGTTGGGGGGAATCAGCAAATGTCAAATTCCACATGGTTTGACGAGGTAGGGGGCTGGAGAGGTTGAAGGGGTTGTAAGGGGCTGAGGGTTCATGGATCACGACCCTTGGCGCACCCTGGTTGCCTCGTGTCTCAAGGGTTTCGCACCGATCCTCCCAATGGAGATCAGTGGGATTTTTTGGGAGCCACCATTTGGCGGGTAGTCAATCACATTGCCTGTTTATGGACCCAGGTGCAGCCTCTTGCTGCCGTTTAAAGGTGCCAAGCAGGAGCCCGCCAGACAATCCGGCTTTGGCTCTTTTGGGGTTGGATCGTTAATTGACCATCATTTTTTTCGGGAACTGTGTGTTCCGACAAAAAGTTGAACTTGCAATAGGGGCAGCGGCCACCAAGTTTGGTTTTAGGTTTGAATTTGTCGTGACACCCTCCCTCCACTACCCTGACGGCAGGACGAAGTTTGGATCGCTTGAAAGTGACAACGTGCTCAAAAGAGCATGAAACTTAAAAACGGGGTACCCCACAAGAAGGTTTCACTAAAAAAATATTGGGTTCCGTGTCACTCTGCAAGGGTGTAGCTATCACAGAATTGGTGATTTCCATAATTTCCATATTGTCCACATCCATTCCACCTTGTGCGGCGCCAGGAGTCGCATACTGTCACGCAAAAGGTGTCATGCACAAGGACACTGCAACGGGACGGGCCAGGGTATGGTCTGGATTTGAACGTTCCCCTCCAAGCGGTTTTTGTTTTAACGCTGAGGGCGTTGAAGAGCTTAGGACTTTTGCTTGGCACGGCGTCAGCGTCGAAGCTCTTCGTGCGGTTTTCGGCTCACAGTTTTCCCTTGAAGTCCCTCGGCTTCCTGTGCTCAAACCCCTGGGAGGGAGGCAATCGCTGATCTCTCCGGAGAAAAAGTTTTTTTTTTGGTTTGGGGGTAAATTAGAAGATGGAAGGAGTCGAAAAACCGCATTTCTATGCAGATTTGTGGGCCAAGGAATTGCCCCGTGTGCGACATATTTTTGTTTCAACGTTTGTGGGTTGGGCAGTCAGACAACATTTCGCCAATCTATGCTTTTCTTTGCTTCCGGCAAGCCCTCCCAAGAGCCGGGGGTCGGAGTTCCACGCCCGGTGCCAGCCAGAAACAGTATGATTACTTCTTGTCAAGATGTAGTGAAGCTTACCTTATGTGAATTGATGTGCAAGAGAGATCCCGTGATGTACAAGCCTTTGTTGGCCAGCCGTTGGGCTGGCTGGGTAGCATTTACCCTCTATCAAAGCCAGGGGTTCGAATCCCCACACCACCAGTGATTTTGAAGGGTAGCCATTTGTCTTGGTGCTTTGGATTGGTTTGGAGATTGCCCATGGCTCTTGAGGGTAAATGGGACCCCTAACTTCCAAGCCAAAAAACCACCAAAGGGCCACCTAAATGATCGGAGGACCTGAAGCTGGAGAACATTATGCTGGCGTCCTTTGACCCGCCAGAGGCGGAAAGCCAAGCGGGAAGCCTGCCGGATGTTTTTTTTGTTTTTTGACTCCTCGGGGGTCAAAGTCGGCACAAGTGCTTCATTTTGGTTTAGTCTTTCCCTTTGCTTCTGGACATAAAGGGAAGGGTGCCATCTACTCTCACATGAGTTTTGGTTGGGGCGCAGAAACCGTGGTGGAAACAGTGATGTTGAGCATCACTTTTTGGGTCAAGTTGAAACATGTTTGGGAGGGTGCCAGGCATTTTTCCTAAGGGTGCAAATCCCCATTACAGTGCCTTAGCCATGTGCGGGCAGTGCGTTGACATGTTCCCTGCGTCAGAGAGGTCAAAGAGACAACGATCCAGTCGCTTGTCCTCTGAGAAAAGTCAATGCAAACGCATCTCCCCCGCAGTTTCTACAAGGCTTTCCAGGTAATTTTACACTGGTTTGTATGCACCAGGTGTCACCGATCGGCACCAACCACAACGCAAGCCCACTTCGGGGTAAAACGAGCTTGGGCCCCGTGATGAAGGTCCCTTGTTTGAGGATTTGATTCAGGCATTCTGACTCAAGTTTTGACCCTTGCTCCAAATTTCACCGGCGGATAGGATGCTAGCTCCAGGGAGCTGAGCGCAAGTTTGCCGAGGATTAGTTGACCAAAATGGCTACCCTCCCCATCCCCATCCCATCCCAGAGGTCGCATCTTGACACGTAAACCCAACCATTTTGGGTGGTTGTTGCCTCTGGGTTTTCCTTGCGAAAGTGCGGATATTTCGACCCTCCCCCTGGAGAACCGGCCCCTTTTCCCCCCTCCAGGCCGTGGTTATCGACGTGGGCCTGGCGGAGCTCTTCCCGGTCTCCGAGGCGGACTCCTTCCGCTCCGCGGACCCCGCGGGGACGCTGGCCACCATGGCCCCGGCGCCTCGGATGCGGAGTCGCGGAGTCCGACTCCGGGCTGGGGCTGGGCGGGTCCAAGCCTCCCCCGATTTGTTGGGGAGGAGCAAAGTGCAGGGAGGTTGTTTGTGGTTTCTGTTTGATTCGGCTGGCTGGAATTTGGTTTTGGACGGATGGACATTTGGATTTGACTGGCTGGTTTCTTTGGGATGGAGCGTCTCGGAAGGAAGGTGCACTTTTTCAGGTCGGCTTAAAAAGGGGAAGCGCAAGGAGCCCATCATTTTGGGAGTCCCCTGTTTTGTGTCAAAACAGGGGCACCCTCCAAGACACACACACACACACCCACCCAGATTGCAATTTCAATTCAAACCTCCGGTTCAATCATGTCTAGTCATCCCTGGTGTTTGCCAATGGATTTGTGCCATCTACTTCCCTAGTGTCCCCCCAAAACCAATGGTACCATTTTGGGATAGGTGCACCACCCATTTTAGTCTATTTTAGTGGGGATTGGGATGTTCACTGGGGGTACGGGATCTTGACCCATGGCCAAATAATCTGTAGTTGTCACCTCGTGTATGTAGCTTCGGGTTGAGAGTGGAAGCTAAGAGTTCGGTTTGGGTGACGCTGGGTGCCCTGCAGCTGTCGGGTGTTCTCAAGTCTGTCTCGGTGAAAGTAGCTGGGGTCTACGGGCTTTTGGTTCAACTCACTTACCCACGCCGTTCAAGGTAAAACCTTTATTTTCATGGCAAAAAAGCGCAAGTGTCCTTTGATTTGTCCCAAGGGGCTGCCAAAGGAAGTTGGGACCTCTGACCCCCCAGTGATGATTAGCTAATCGCTTGGGCCACCGAAAGATAGCCTGTTTGCTCCTCATGGCATACAGCTGAGGAAGTGATCCGCGGCAGCTTCAACGCCAAGTGCGACGTGTGGTCTCTGGGCTGCTGCTTGTACGCCCTGCTCTGCCGGCGCCCCCTGCGCCTGGAGGACAACGTCCGTGGCGAAGGCGCTGGCAGTGGATGGTGGTCGATGGTTGGCGGGTGGGCTGAAGGGTCCAGAATACCGTTCTCGGGGTTGGTCTGAGGGGAAGCCAACGCAAACATGAAGCTCATTTTAGGGGGTCTGGACCCAGACCTCCTTTGCCCTTTGACCTTTGAACCCCTTTGGGCCTCTGAGAAACCAAGGGCGCCCTTTGTACAGGGAAAACCCTCCAGACCACCTCGAGGGATCCTTTGTAAAGCAGAATCCGCCCCCAGGCCTTCAGAGGTTTCCTGCCGACAGGGTGTTGGCTGTTTCAAAGTTTGCTCAGCTTCGGCTTCCTTTAGGACATTGATTCAAACACCAGGACAGTAGATGGCGCAAATCCCCTGTGAGTAAGTCGAGTTAGTAAAGGGGGCGACGGAACCAACATGAGGGGATTGTGCCATTACTTTCACCCTTCTGCACGGGTTCTTTGATGTTCGCATTACGTAGCCTCACAGGTTCTGCATGGACTTTGTTGATGTGTCGTGCTTGCCACGGCCCGCACAGATGAGCCAACCCTGCAAGTGTTGAGGCTTTGGTGGATTTGGCTGCAAGATTATGAGCCTGGTTGTGGAGTTGTGGGGGCATTTGGTTTTAAGGAGGCCACTTTGATATCACCGATGCGCTGATTTTATGGTCATGGAGGTCGGCATGCGCGGAAGCGCAGCTTCTTTCAGTTCGATGCCCTTCGCATGGCGAAGGGCCGCCATGCCGTGCGCGCAATTTCCGGCTTGAGGTGGGAAGGACACCGTGGAGCTCTATGACTACTTCTACCCTTTCACCCCACCCCCCGATGAGTCGCGGCAGGAGAGGTGGAGAGAGCGGATGACCCACGGCCCTCTGCAGCAGCGGAACAGACCTATGTCATGTTTCCAGACAATACGCACCAGGGACATTAGCGAATTTCCAGGCCCCTGAATGGTTGGGACACAGGAGCCGAACAACAGAAGCAGCCCTAGTCGAACGAACGAAGGGATCCTGGGTGGGGCTTCATCAAGCTTCTGTGATTGGCCAAGTCACATCATCTCCTTGGCGTTAGCCACCTAAGCGAACTCAGGCACCAGGTTTCTTTCAGCACTTCCCCTGCTTGGTTTTAAGGAGGCGCCAAAGGCAAGCCTGGAGCGAACCCCTGGACCTGTGAGGAGCTGAAGGCCTACTTGGTGCGCCAGAAGGAGGGCCCCGACTTCTCAAGGCTCCAGTGCTCGGATGAGGCCAAGGACCTGCTGGCCCAGCTGCTGATCTTTGACCGGGCCCGGAGCCCCAGATTTGTGTCAAAATCTTGTTTTTGTTTTTCTCCTGAGGGCGCGGGAAGGTTTCATTTGTTCTTTCTTTCTTTTTTTCGGGGGTGGGGGGAAGGTGTGGTGGATTATTTGGGGTCTACGCTTCTTCCCGTGAACGCGGCACCTGACAGGTAAGGTGGGTCCCTTCAAGTGCAAATTGAGCTTGGGAGGAAGGGTAGTTGGCAGCCACCTCTGGTAGGTATTGGTTTTTTAGGGTGTCTTGCTGCACAATTGCCTCCAATCACTTCCCCCTAAGAATGCATGCACCGTATTAGTCAATATCGTTGTTCCCAGACCCCCGGATCTAAGAACCCGCCAATTCTAAACCAATACGACACCTGCCGAGTCGCCCCAATCTCGCCACCAGTCATATTCGGGTATTCCAGCACATTTGTTGCACATTCTCAAAATATAACTTCATGTATACCTTTTACTACTCAAGCAAGTTGCTTCATAAATTGTAATCTCAAATTTAAGCAAACAACAAGCTTGAACGGTTTTATTTGAATTCACGAATCGCGGGTTACAGTTTTCGTGTCCGGGATAGGGTGGGGTCCGGGAGGGGTCCTGAAAAATGGGGTCCCGGGACCCGGGAAAGAAAGCTTCGGACGAGGATCGAAGTGAACCGGAAATCCGGGGGATCCCCAATTAGTATTTATCGGTATGCCATCGTTTGCCGCCGAGCCAATATTAAGAATATCCGGGGGAAGCGGTGAAGTGCTGAATGGCGCAGGTTTGGGCGGCAGTTCCCGGGATGGTTTTCCGAGTTTACAGAAAGACCCCACTCGATTGGGCCAGAATCTAATCAAAAGGCTGCGTCGATTTCGGCGGGGGCCGACTCGGAGCCGGCTTGGTTTCTCAGCTGTGCGTACTTTTTAGCAAGGGATCACTTACATGGAGGGGTGGACAAGGTTTGACTGGGACGACGTGGGATTTCTTCAGGTGACAATCGGGCACTTGGATTAAGGGCTGTTGTCATGTAACCGTGAGGTCCAAACTATGTGCCCCCAATACTTTTCCAGCTGAATGGGGTACAAAGGTAGCGGTATCTCTGACCTTCTGAGGGGACTGGCTGTGGCCTGGCATAGATAGTCAAAGGGCAGAGGCGCTCCTTTAATTCCTTTGAGTTCATTGGGCTGAGGATTTCAAGGCTTGGCAGCCCCCATGATCTAAATCAGCTGATACCAAACTCAAGGAGGCTCCTGCTCAAACGCCTCTCGCGCACGTGCCAGACATACCGCTCAGGACCCCAGGCCGCCCATGCGCCAGGTGCTAAGTCCGGCGCCCAGCGGTGCGGCCCTCCGATCCCAAGACCATCTTAGATATCCGGGTGCATGAAACAGAAGCTGAAGATACTGTGGATGGACGAAATCCTGCACTGCCTAAGAAACTTGGTTTCTGATGATTCCCCTGTCAATTCCAACAACACAATGGTTTTCCATGGTTGCCAAGTGGTGCAGGATTTTGTCCAAGTAGTTGTGTCTTTTTCTGTGTGCAGAGGTGGGCCAAGTTCGATTGCCAGGCTCAACTCACCTGTTTGCCCACCTTCTGGCAATCGGACAAAAGGGCGGTTGTCTCAAAGACATTCCGACATGTGTTTTTTGCTCCAGGTCTTGGGGCTCGTTGCTTTTCCTTGGCGGGGGCTCATGTTTTTTAAATGCCCAAAGAGTTAAGTACTGCAAAGGGGGTCTCCTCCAAACTTGTTCTATTTTAGGGTAGACTAGATATGACATATACTGAACACATATTGTTTTTGGAATACCCCCCGCCCCCATCCGCCCCCCGACGTGTGGGCCAAGATGCGCTCAGCAAAGTCGCCTGCTTGCTCGGAGCCCCGAGCAAGACTTCTGTAGGTTTAGCTTCTGCAGCCATTTCACCAGAAGTCACTTCCAGCCGTGCGAGAAGAATCCACAGCAACGGTCGATCCCCTAAATTTTGCCACTGGAGCGAAAGCAGCCCCCGAAGCTTTCCGCGGTTTTTTGTTCGGCTGATGTATCTTATGTTTGAGAAATCCACTAAACATCCACACATGCCAAGATCTCCTGCATGGACTGAGCATGCTACAGGACACACAGTCGTGCAGAAAGTGCGGACCATGCAAGCAAGAGGCTTCGAAGGCATGTTTTCCCAATGGCTACCGCCAAACAAACACGCCCCAAAGCGCATGTACACATAGACACCAAAAGCGTTGATTTTTCCAAAGGACCAGGTGAGTTCCCCCAGCTCCCCCGCTTTTCTCGACCCCTAGAAATCCCCGCTGACTCGACCCCTTGGCCGGTCCCCGGGGCCGCCAAATCGGAGAGCAATGGACGAGGGCCAGGCGTTGTTCGAGTACAGCCGCCAAGGGAAGCTGGAGGAGGTGCAGGCAGAGCTGGCCGAGGGGGAGAGCCCCAACGACGCTCGGCCAAAAGGGCCATTTTAGGGCACAGCTGTATGTGCAACAGGCTGGGGTTGGTAGGGGTGGTCAATATCTTAGGGCGTTTGGAGAATGGCAAGGGTTAAGGGAAACCATGACAACGGCCCCCACGAGTTCTCGTATGTTTCCCCATGAGTGTCGGCCCCCAATCTGGGCCCCCTCTTAAATGAGACACTTCCCCATAAATCAGCTAGGCGTTTATGTTATTGACATCGCCCCTGTCAGTGTATCTCCGGGGGTTGGACACTTCTGGACCTCATGGAATCCCCCTAGTTATGCACGTATGAAATACATCTAGCGGGATACAGCGGAGTTTTCTTTTGGTCAGGTGATGGTTTAGAACCAATATACCCCTGCAAACTGCCAAGGCCCGGGGAAGATTTTGCGCTTTTTGCAAGTAAGCCAGGCCAAGCACCTTTTCGATTTAATTCGGAGCATCTGGCTGGAGTCCTCAACCGCTGCTTCTCCGGGTTTCGGGGCCAAAGCGTCCAACCTAGGCTTGGTAAAAAGCTGAGGTCTGATCTCCCTGCAAGCTGCTCGTGGTAGAAGCGAACCATCAACATCCTTCAACATTAGGGGTTGGGTCTTCTCTTTTTGTTGAAGAGCCCATTTACCCTCAGTACTTGCATGCGTTATTGGCACCCCTAATCTTGCTGAAATACATATCCTTTGACGGCCTCATTTTTTTTAAATCTTGGCCCAATCTCACAACTCCTAGATCTTCCCGAGATGCCACTTGGACATACATACTCCTTGTAGTTGGTATGGATAAGATGCGGCAAAATGGCAAAAAGGCCCATATTGCGCATCCAACTTCCCCTGCTCCAGGGTGAAAGTAGATGGCGCAATCCCCTTGATTTGGGTAAGTAAAGGGGATGACTAAGATTGGTGAAATGTGCCATTTGTCTTCACCCAACTGTAGTGATGGTTCCCCTGTTGGGTTGGTTTAAGGGGAAGTCAAGGGCAAACCACCATTGTCAGAATCCCTCTATGTTGATTCGGCCTCTTAGGGTCCAACATCGACACTTGAGGCCTACATGGGCTACGACGGGCGCACGGCCCTCATGGCAGCGGCGCGGAACGGGCACTGCGCGGTGGTCTTGGCACTGCTGGGGGCCCGGGCCGACCTAACACCCCGCTCGGAGGACGGCTTCGGAAGCGGTCCAGTTCATGAGGCCGTTCTGAGCGAATTTTGGCGCTGGAAACTCCAACGGCTGTGTGAATGGGGGGGAATTCCGTTCAGTGTTCCATGTTCGCATTTGTGGGACTAGGAGACGGGATTGGTCGCAGCAGGGTTTTTGGGCGACTGGAATGAGGCCATGGAACGTTACTGCTTTGCCCATCCAATCAGATCACCCCTTGCAATGATTATGATTCAGACTCGGAACCTTTTCTGCCTTCTCAGGACACGCTCCAAAACAATGTCAGTGTAAGTTCAAGCTTGTGAAAGGACATGCAATTGCAACTTGTAGTCACATTGCAATTGCAAAGTGCGCCTGGGAACTGTGAATCGCAGATGGCTTCGGAGCTGTGAAGAATGGACAAAGCCAAGCTGTCAAATGCCCAAGTCATTGCGTGTCAGTTGCAGGAGCTATCACAGAGCAACTGTGGCCCTTATGTTACGTATGCCCTTCTTTGTGTGGGTGATATTTGAAGAAGCCCTGCATGTAAGTGGCTGAGACATGGGTGGTGGTTGCAGGTAGGTTGATGTTTGAAGAGGGTGGTGTGCAAGCCGCGGGCCAGCTGCCTCCGAACATTCATTTCTTTTTCTTTTTGGGGGGAAAGGTAGCACGGGCAACATCAACAAATAGGCGTATGTACATGCACGCACTCATGCACATGTTTTTCTACACGCATATCTAAATACACATGTAAGTAAAGAACAACCTATACACATACGGTGATATCTATCTACATGTGTGCATGTGTATGATTTAAATATGTTGCACCCATTCATCGGCACCTCCACCCGGTTTTAAGACCGGACAGCATGGCTTAACCGTGGAACCTCCCAGCGGACACAGGAGGGCAGCGACGCCCTGCTGCACGCGGCGGCGGGCGGCAGCGCGGAGGTGGTGAAAGCGCTGCTGGCAGCGCGGGCGGAGGTGGTGGAGAATCCTCGCCCAATTGAAGGTCTGTGGGGCGGCTTTTGGGGTGGTTTTTGGGCTTGTCCATTTTACCGAAAAATGAGGAGCAAACGAGCAACGCAACGTTAAATCCTTGCCAGGTGGAAAATTCAAAATTCTTTGAAGTTTGTTTTGGTTTGTCAAACTTGCGCCCTTTTTGCTCTTTTGCCCTGGGTTTCCCGCATTCTCACTCTCTGCAGCGTCTGGCCAAGGAATGAGGAGGGGCTGACTGCGCTGCAGCTGGCAAGGCTTTGGATAGGGCTTTTGTTAGTTGTTCAATGGCTTCACTGTTGCCAGGATGCTGTGGATGGACAAAATCTTTTTTTCCCCTTTTGATTGATCCCAACTAATACAGGATTTCCTCCATCCACAGTATGTAGCCTTAGTTGTTTTGCTTCTGTCCATTGTGTCTGAGTGCGAAAAGCAAACATTTGCTCACATGCCACGGGTTGGACCGATGGATTCCACCCTTAAAGTCCCTTTTTTTTGGGGCTGACCGAAGCGTGGTCTACCTACAAAACGGGTGTTGCATTCTTCCGAGGGTCACTGGTCAAAGTGAACAGTTTGAGGGGTTCTCAATTTGTCTTCCATTTTGGTTCCCTCTTTTTAAGCTGGGGTTGTGTTTCAGGATGTCTCCCTGGGGCTAGAATCCCGACTCATGGTTATTTTTCTTCAGCTTTCCAGAGGCCCTGCCCAGATTTGAAAGAGTACCCTGCTTTAATCGCCAAACAAACAAACAAACAAACAAACAAACAAACAAACAAACAAAACAAACACACAAGAAATAAACAACCAACATCAGTTTGCAAATGAGCAGGCGCCAGGGGGTCCCTGAGTCACTCCTCTTGAAGTTGCACTATGGCTTTGCCAAAGTTTTATGTTTTGTGAACGCATGGCGTTAAGGTTTTGTGCCGGGGTGGGGCATCACAAAGCTTCTGGCAAACATGACCTCTGTGAATCCTGGCTACCCCAAATCCATTTTTCTCTCGCAGGGTTGCCTGGAGATCAAACCTTTCCCCAGTCTCCCCCCCTTTAGCTATTAGGGCTTCCCCACGTGTTGCAGGCACTACGGGCACCTGGCAGCCGCCGAGATCTTGGAGGGCCTATCCGCCGCTGAGAAGCCTGTAGAAGGCGGCGGATCCAAAGCGGCGGTTTTGGCGGGGGAGCACTTTGCCTATGAGTGCCTGGAGGACCTCTTTCTCTGCATTTGTTTTGCAAGCTTTTGCAAAGACACCGGAGATGGACTTCCGATTTGCATGTTGTTTTTGCGTGTCGCATGGTTTTAATATGTTTGGCCGAGATCTGGCGAAGTGTCAGGCTTAGTTGGGAGCAAAAAAACGTCGCCGATCATCACCCACTCGCTGTTGGCACAGGAAACCAATTGGACTTGAGTAGTAAATGGGCACTCATCCTCACACCTTGGTGGTATGCTTCGCCTTCCCCGCAGGATGCGGAGCTAGCAGAGGCCGCGTTGCGGCAGTACGGGGAGGCGCAGAAGCTGCGGCCGAAGCCGCCCTCCGAGGTCGGGCGCTGCGCACGCTGCGCGCGCCGGGAGGGGCGGCAGAATGGCTGCTGCGTGGCTTGACCTCCGTGACGTTGCGGTCGGTGGTCGCCAAAGCGCTTCCCATTTTCGATGTGGGCATTCGGCCGGGGCATGCGGGCATGTCTCCAAAAGCACGGAACTCCAGGTGGTGGCAACCCACGACTGCCCATTCGGAGGCTGTTTCTCTGTGCGTTATGAGATGAGTGCCTATGTCGGCGGACCTCGAGGACAAGCACAAGATCTTGAAAGACCTGGCGCAAACGAAATTGCGCACCTTCCAGCGGAGAAACATCTGAGTGCCGCTGGGCAGAGGCTGGCCGAGCTGGAGGGCGAGCTTAAGGAGCAAACAGCCGAAGTAACCAGGTTGACAGGAGGCGTCTCCGTGCTTTCGCTCGGCCAGCGAAGAAACACAGGGCGATCCTAGTCATGTATCGCGCTGCAAACGGAGGCCGGCCTGGTTGCTACCCACTTAGGGGCAGTTACGAGTATGGGCATGCCCTGAACCAGCCCGAGAGCACTGGGTGGTTCTTATGCCCCCAGACGCGGGATTTGGTGGGAGCGGAGTTGCTCTTGGCTTCCCTTTGAGCCCAAGGAGAGGTTCACTGTTTTGAGAGCCCCATGGCCCGTGCGCAGCGACAAAGACCTAGCACAGCGAGTTGTGGACAAAAGCTGCGAGTGTCGGGTATGTCAGTGGGAGGCCTGCCCCCACACCTGAGCGAAGCCGCACCAGTGGACTACCTTGTCCACCCAAAAGTGGTAGGTTTCCTCAAGAGGAAGTATGCCGACCTTGACCAAAATGACACGCCCTCCCAAAACCACATTTTGACCATGCTCTCCACCCCAAAAAACCCCATCCGCCCCAACCCCCAAACCCCCAAACCGCCTCAGCTCACCTCCGGTCCGAGGCCACCACTGGGTGCAGATCTCGAAGGCCAATGGGACCATCTCCCGGGAGCAGATGGACAGCTTGCTGCAGTTCCACCGCATCAACCCGCTGGCTCAGGCCAGCGTCGTGGAAAAGAAGCTTTGGGAGGGGGATCCCTGAAAGGGCCGAAGTTGCTATCATGATTTTGCCCTGGTCACAAGGCATTTTAGTTTCGGGATACCCCAAGCCCTCAGTGCAATTTATTAGCCCCTTATACGACTTCCCCTCTTGGTGGCTTTGAACATCACCTTCGGAGCATTTGAAACTGAGTTTTAAGGGCAGCAGAGGGAATCGAGGGCGTGGCATCTCACCCATGCTTGGGACGTTTGGGCATTGCAGCACCAAACCCTTCAAGCTTGACTGGGCTGACCACGGCGGCTGTTTAAACGGTGGCTTTCGCCGCCATTCTTGAAACAACCCCCTATGCTTGTTCCCTAGAATCTTTTTTAGGTTTTGGTCCCTGGGATGGGGCCTGACATCGAATCGCCCCCCTTAGTGGATTCTTTGGGGGTTGCTCTTGATCCCAAAGAAGGACCTCCAAAGCGGAGGGTTTTTTTTTGCAGCTGAATCCGCGGGAATGATCCGCGCCCGCCTGGCGACGTAGAGCTGCGAGGCAGTGCTCTTGGACCTGTCCTCGCAGCTTCCGCTGAAGCAGCTGAGACGCTGGCTCGAATCGTTTCGGCCAGCCTGTGCAACCCAAATAGGGGTCTGTTTTTGTAAGGCTAGCCCCTAATTAAAATGGTGGGTTCGAGGGAAACCAAAACAAGTTTTGGGGGGTCCCCTAGTTTGACACGCACACACACGCACCCAAATCAAGCTTGGCTGGCCGGAGGCAATCCGCAAGATCCTTACCTTGGGTTGCAGTTAAGTTTGCCGTTGAAAAGGGACTCCTCAACAGGGGTTCTGCACGTGGGCGTCCTTTTCTCCATCGGATCGGGTCCAGAGGCAAAGCCGAGTGATGCCTTTTCGGGGCTGAAGTTCAGGAAAAACCGGAACAGCCGGAAAAGCCGGTTGCAGATCTCAGGAGAGATGATCAGCCTCTTTGAGTCAATGGACAAAGATGGCAACGGCATGCTGGACGAGGCTGGCTTTCCGCTTGGCCCATTGGCCTGGGTAGGGGCTGAGACCAACGAAGCAGGTTTCCGCCCGCCTTTGCGCCACTGGGGTCAGTTTGGTGAAGAAACAGATGGGACTTGCTTCAATTTGGCTCTAACCTGGCTGTGAAACGGGCTCCGGTTGATGCGGGGGGTGTGGATTGGTGTCCCGTTCCTCAACCAGCACTCACAACCCCAAAATGATTCAACGGGAGGCAAGTGGGACTTGACGCTGCAAAGCAAGACGACTTACTTGCGAAGGAGTGGCCTGACTCTTTCTCCCAAGGTGCGAGCAGTTTGCCTTGCGCGGCACGTGTAGGGCCGCATGACTTTCACGTTGCAGTGCTGGCTGCAACTAGACTGTGTGTGTTTGCCCCATTACAGGCAGGACCTTTCGCTTTTGGAGGGCAAAAACAAGCGATTTAATCCGTCAGGCTTATTATTCCGAGGTCAACATTACACAGACCCCACTACTCGGAACCCAGAATCAGTTGGGTGACAGTAGATGGCTCAATTTTGGCTCAGTCATTCCCTGTACCTACATCTAGCTTCTCCCTTGTGTGGGCATGCATGGAACCCCGGATGAATAACCCCTGATTCATTAATAGGGGGGTGTCCCATTAACTAGGACGAATCCAAAGTTGGCAGTACTCAGGGAGTACAATATGAGATGCCAACCAATATGAGATGGCAAAGAGGTACCAATCACTCACCCCTGCCACGATCACGCTTTTCAGGTAGGCGGCTCCTCCCTTAGCTTTGCTAGTTGTTTCGGCCCTTGTCTACGCTTTTGTATACATATAGGTATATATACATATTTCTTTTTTTGGGGGGCGGGGGGGGGGGTGGGAAGGGAACTGGCGAGAGCCGACTCCCGAAGCGCCCGGTGCGACCGACTCAAGGCGGAGCTTGCGGAGGCGCTGAAGCTGGCGGGCATGGGCGAGGAAAACGCCCGAGCGGCCGCCTGCCGACTGGCCAAGGGCTCAGGCGCGGTTTGCCGCCCGTGAGCCGCCCGGTGGTGGCAGGCCGCCAGTTGGGCGATTTGGTTCTCGTTAGTCCCTTGGAAGACCCGCAGGCCTGCTTGAAGATGGCGCCTTCTTTTGACCCAAGGAAGCCAACCACAGGAAGCCTAGCATGAGAAGCCGCAAACCCCTTTTTGGGTTACTTGTGACATTGCGTGCTCTTCAATCGGGTTAGGCCTTCTGAATCAACCCCTCTTCAACCTCCATTGTGAGCTTAGGAAGGAAAGCGCCAATGGCTTCCTTATGGTTCCCCTTTACAACAACCCCAAAAAGGGTTGAGAGCCAAAAAAGAACCTCACCAAGGTTGGCGGCACACTCAAAATGGTGCAAAACCCAAAACCCCAAAAATGGGCACTCTGAAAAAATAGCCTTTTCGTGGGTCCCGAAATCGGGGGACCTGGGTTCCCTTTAAAGCAACGCCTCCGGCAGGGGGGTTCGTGGAATTCTCCCGCTTTGTGGCGGCCCTGGCGCCCTCGACGCTCGACACGCAAGCCCAGCAGCTCACACACACATATAAAAAACAAGTATGTCATATAGACATACATAGGTATAAAAGTGCTTAAAAGTTTGTTTTTCAATTGTGTGTTGTTCAATCATTAAGTTACCTGTTTATGGTGTCTTTGCACACAAAAATCAATGTTTTTGAGTTGCTTCTGGTTGTGCTAATTTATTGGCTTACATGTCGTATTTGTTTGTGTCTTATCTTGTCTTACCTTATCTTAGCCTACATGTATTTATTTATTTAATTTGCTATGAATTTGTATTTATTTATGTGTGTGTGTGTGTTTTGTGTGTGTGTGTGGGTGCGTGCGTGCGTGCGTGCGTGCGTGCGTGCGTGCGTGGGTGTGTGTGTGTGGGTGTGTGTTTGCTTGCTTGCTTGCTTGCTTGCTTGCTTGTTTGTTTGTTTGTTTGTTTGTTTGTGTGTTGGTTTGTTGGTTTGTTGGTTTGTTGGTTTGTTGGTTTGTTGGTTTGTTGAAGGATGTCCGGGTACAACTAGTGAGCCGAACGTCGGACATGCACACCTTCTGAAATTCAACGGCTGGAGACGCTGGCAACCTTGTACATGGGTGCAAACTGGGCCTGGGCCCGTGGCTTGCTCGGGGTTTCCCAACGAAGTGCGGGTGGAAGGGGTACTTGCCTTCCTGCGCTCTGCTTGTGATGCCTACCCCTTGAAAGTGGCGTTGAGTGGTTGCATAAGGGATGGGAGTCAACCGCTTTGGCATCCAGGGTCCTTGCTGGGGTTGTTTGAAAGGAAACCATTCAGGAAGGGCTCCCTGACGGGGAGACACCCTTATGGGTCTGTGGTTGCACCCAACTCTTGGCCCTTATCCATGGGAGACGAAAAGGTTTCAAGCAGGGGTTGGACCAAACCAGGCTGCAAAATGGGCACTGGGTTCCTTCTGATTTTCTTTTCTAGGGCCCAAATTTCCATTGCCTTGTGACGATCGGGTCGTTGGAGCACAGGGGTTCCGCGTTATGGACACGCCCAGATTGGCGTTTCAGCCGAGGACGGCGTTGCTGGAGGACGACGAATTGCTGCGCAGCAGCTTCAATCGCCTGGACGCAACTTGACGGCATTGAGGTTCCGGGACGAATTGCACGAGGTCTAGGCTTCACTATGCCCCGCCCACAGGTAAGCATGGTACCCCAAAAAACCCTCCGTTTCAGGGGCATCGTTTTGTGGGGGCCCTTTTTGCGTTCCATGTTAATTTGCAGGAAGGAAATTAATCATCCCCGTGCCCTAAGCACACCACCACCCCAGAAAAAAAGGCAGTTTTATCTTACAATCGTCCTTGCCCAAAACTGCCAGTGGCCGTCTTGTAGCCAGAGGCTGAACATCCCTCGGCGTGCTTTGTTGGCATATCCTGATAGCCTAAAATTAATGGGTCTAAAAAATGGGTCCTCGGATTCTGCACCTCGTCCGTTGGTGCAAGCCCCGTTTGTTGGAACACGTTTAGGGTTCCCTGACTAAAGACCCTGGAATCTGCAAATCGGGGTGCCCTATTAATCAACCAAGGGTGTATTCATCTTAGGTTAACATTACGAGATCTTTCAAGAAGCGCGTTCTGTCGGACTTTGAGGATTCAGCATTCAGCACCCGTTACATTTAGCTGTTTGCATTCTAGGGGTTCTAGTGGAGGTGCAGGGGGCTGTTCGAGCTTCACATGTCTTGTCACTGAGGCGAATGGTGATGGCTACGTCAGCCGGAGTGGCCTGGCTATGGCCAGAAGGGCAGCAGGGCGGGAGGGTTTGTGGCTCATGCGGACCGTTTCGCTCGGCCTCACCCAGGACGAGGCGCTTCAGGTTTTCAGTGGAGCGTGCCAATGCGCCAACCACCCCGCCCGGCCAAAAGCAAGCTAGAGTCTGAGCGAGGCCCTCCGGCTTGGACCATTTGAGCGGGTTTTGGTAGGTGATCCTGCAATCTAGTTTCATAGGCTTAGATCTTCATAGCCCGAATCAAATGATTCTGGTTGAATAAACATGTTCGTTTTGGTCACTGCTCATCTTGAAGGGACCCTTCTCTTCAGTCTGGTCTGGCAGGGCATGTCTTGAAAACGAGCCCGAGACCTTCGCCAGATGCTTAGCTTAGAGGAATGCCCTCCCAAAAGCGTGCCATCTGGGCTGCCGACCTCTGGCTTCGTGCCATCTTCCGGCAAACATCGGACACGACACGCGGCCCCGCCTTTTTCTGTTTCAAAGCAAGGCGGCCTCAATTGAGCCAGGCAAGGCCTAACTGGTGGTGTTGATGGTTGTGGGGATTTGAACCCCACGAATCCAAGCCATCAACTCAAGTGCTGAAGGCCTTCGAGGAAGCCACGGAAAGTTCATATGCGAGGCGAGTTGCAGCGGCTGCTGGAGCGGGGCGCTCGGCCCGTGTCGACCCCAGAGGACCGGCGGCAACTCGGTAAGTTCCTGGCCGCCTTGAGAACAAACACAGCAGGTTGTTTGGACAATTGGCCTTTCTCACCACCACGGGGGGTTCCACGTTTTCTTTTGCACCGACTATGAAGACTCAAGACATATCTACATATAAAACTATATACCATACAAAATCAATCTGTGCTTTTTGGATTGTTTAAACAAACCGCTGCGTGTTGGCCATGCTTTTCAGCGGGTTTCTCAGGAGGACGTGGCCCCGGAGCGCGTGCGCCGTGCCTCGCAGACGGCGCGCCAGGCCTTCGACGCCATCAGCCCCTCGCTTGGCAGCCATTTTTTGGTGGCTTGATTGGGTGGGTTGAGGGTGGGCTTGTGCTTTGGGCTAAGATTGGTTGAGAGTTTGATGAGGGTTGGTTTGGAAGAGGTGATGGCCCTTTTGTTTCTGGGTCCAAGCTGGGCAACTGCGGTTTCAGCAATCAAAGCCACCGAATTTTGACGTCTACAGGGTCCAATTTCTTCAATTTCTTTGCCTTCACAAGAAAGGAGACTATCACTGGACAGCTGGTCTCAGACTTTCCCCCCGGTCACGGCCTCGCGAGCGCACGTGGTTTTCGGCTCGCAGGCGCACGTAAATTTGGTCTCGCCCGCGCATGTAGAGGGCTGGATTTCGTGGTAGGTGCGGTACATTGCGGTACTTTAGGCAAGTTTTTCGTGGGTCTCGCCGGCGCATGTGATACCGCGCATGTCCCCGAAAAAGGCAAAGCACGTGAGCCTCGCACGCGCATGTAAGCAAAAACGCACTAGTAGCGTACGCGCGTGCAAGCCTTTCATCCATGCTTGATCCCATCCAGGGATGCACGGGGCGGTTGCGTCTTGCACTCGGCCTCGTGCTTCTTCTTCATGTTGCTGGCTTTTCTGCGTGCTTTGCGGACGCTCTACGTGCGTAGTGTCGCGCGTGCTTGGAAGTGAGCGGCTAGAGGGACGCTCTTCGAACGTCAGCACGAGGCGACCGCACGTTCTTACCACACGAGTTGCGACACGCAGGCGTAGCAGGCGCGCTTCCTCTTTCGCGTGCGTGGATGCAGTGCTGAGCGGGTGCGCTTGAGCGGGTGTGCTTACCATCCCCCCCCCCCGCCCGCCCCCCACCCCCCCCCCCCCGCATGCGTGGATGCAGTGCTGAGCGGGTGCGCTTGAGCAGGTGCGCTTGCTCTTTCGCGTGCGTGGATGCAGTGCTGAGCGGGTGCACTTGAGCGGGTGTGCTTATCATTCCCCCCCCCTCCCGCCCACAAGGAGGCCAGGTCCTTCCTGGAACTGGATTTCGTGGCAGGCGCACTTTTTTGAGTGACTTGGAGCGCTCACGTGGTCATGTGAGACCCGAGCCGCTGTGTGCGCCAACGCTCCAAAAGCTGCGCCCGCGCGCTCAATTGGCACGTGCATGCTTGTGAAGCGACCTGCAAGAGTGCGGTTGAAACCAGGTTCCGCGTGGGTTTTGCAGCTGGATTTCGTGGCAGGCGCGCTTTTTTGAGTGACTTGGAGCGCTCACGTGCTCCTGTGAGACCCGAGCCGCTGCGTGCTCCGACGCTTGAAAAGCTGCGCCCGCGCGCAAAACTAGCACGCGCATGCTTGTGAAGCGACCTGCATGAGTGCAGTTGAAGCCAGGTCCTGCGTGGGTGTTGGAGCTGGATTTCGCAGCAGGCACGCTATTTTGAGTTCACGTGCTCCTGTGAGACCCGAGCCGCTGCGTGCTCCGACGCTTGAAAAGCTGCGCCCGCGCGCTAAATTGGCACGCACCCGCTTGTGAAGCAGCCTGCGAGAGCGCAGATTTGGGGCTGGATTTTGTGGCAGGCGCAGTACTTTGAGCGACCACATGCTCCTGTGAGACCAGAAACGGCTGGAGTGTCCACGTGTGCCGGTGAGACCGAAACCACGTGCTCCTGTGAGGCCCCAACCCTTCTCCGCAAAAGACCGTGTTGGTTTCGCCGGTCGCGCGAAAAAATCGAAGCGCCTCAGGCGGCGAAGGGCGGCTGCGCATCACTTTCGAGTCCTTCCGGCGCCACTTGGGGGACTTCGTGGCCTAAGGCGCGGCCGCGGGTCGCTTCAGGGCGGAGCCAGGCGTTCCACGTGGCCTTTCCCAAGGGGACAACAATCAGGGAAGTGGGCAGGCTTACGACTATCTATCCAGCTGAAAAAGCACAAATGGTTGCATGGTCAATTTGGGGAGGGAGAATCGCTGAAGAAGCCCAATCAGTACCAGAGCTCACACGTTCACCACGTTCACCACGTGTCCCACTCACAACACTTGTAACCCCGCCGCTACAAACGCGAAGGATTTGTATCGTCGGGGTTGTGATCCTCCCAATATTAATCACACAATGTTCACGTTAACTTTGCTTTTGCACAAGATCAGATAGTAAGTGCATCGAAGATGGTGCAGAGAAGAAGCACCTTTGATCCCATCTCATCTTTGATCCCATCTCACCTTTGATCCCATCTCACTTTTGACCCCGGTGTCTCGTAGGGTGGAGAAAAATCAGCTGGTGGAATTTGGGTGTCTGCGTTTTTAGGGGACCCGGAAATGGAGGAGGGGCCCCAAAAAAAAAGCAGCCCCATTTGGGCATAAGTCCAAGGTTTGGGATTGAACATTGGCAAAGACGACAACTTGTCATTATCCATCAGGCAGGGAAAGGGATGGGGACTTTGGCCTCCCCAACGCGCTGAGGAACAGCCCAGATGTACAGATGCTCTCTTGGAGCCCGGAATTTGCTATAGCTGTTCCATATGGTTCTGAGGCTGCCGTTTCGACAGCAGCTTAAAAAATCCTACAGATGACGTGTAGCAGCATGTGCCTCGAACGTGGCGACCACTGCCGTGTGCAGCGGAGAAACCGCAGGGAGAGGCCTGCTGAATTCAAGCGACAGATCAATCCGCTGTTTCTTCCGTTTCTGTGCTGCCCGCGGAATGTCTCAAGCTGGTGCTTGACCGGGACGGGCATAAAAGCGAACATAGCACCCAAGCCCCTGCCAAGCTCCGGTGTGAAGCTGCAGCTTTGCGGGCTGCTCCCTCCAAGAGGGACGTGTCGCGGCCGAATGGCCTAACGCAAGGGACGGCCAGTTACAAGAACTGTACAGCCCTGCAGCTGTTAATCTTGCTGCTCACGGCCATTCCTTTGCAGCTCTGCGTGCGGAATCGAATCTAAAGAACAAGTGTGCGACAACGGCCTTGAACAAGTAGGTTGTCCGGGGCCTTCTTGTTTTTGCCCTTCCCCAACTCAGAGCAAACTGAGATTCGGCATGAGGTGAGCAGCAAGGGCACACATTTTCGAGCATGACTAGTGCAAGATATTCCTACATGCTCTTTTCAAGCACGCCGCTGGCGGCAGATATGATGCCGTGGAAGGCATGCGGCGGCAGAAGGACTGCACGCCGGCCCTGGATGGCGCAGCTGGCCCGAACTATTTGCATGGTTCCATGGCATCAGAAAAAGGCACTCAAGAACCGAGCTCCACAAACAATCAAGGTTAGTGGCCGTGGCAAGAGCGCCCTTTTAGTAATGCAAGCAATTGTTTTGCCTTTGGCCCCCTTTCTGACATGAAGGGCGTCCAAAGTGGGCACCATATAAATGATGTCTGCCGAAGGGCCCAACCAATTGGATCATTTTACTCACGTAGCATTCTGCGAACTGCTGTGCGCTGGGCGCGCCCTCCAGGCATCGTCAGCGGTGGGAGGCAGCACTTGATGTTCTGCCCCCTTCCCGGGCTTTGCGGCACCTGCCTGCAAGCTTCCAGAAACAGGGGGAGCTGCTCTTTTCTTCACTTCGGTGTTTTTGCGGCCGGCAGTTTGGTACGGCCTGAAAAGGCGACTTACCTTGGCGAGGAACCCTTGCAAGAACACCGAGCACCAACCTGAAACCACGGCCAGCTTCGTTTCTTACGAGGGCTTGGGACTCTCACAACGCTCTTGGCGAGGACTGGCCATTTTGGCCCTGACGGTCCCCCCCTGTTCCCTGCAGTTGGTTGGTTGTGCGCAGCAGAACGCACCCCAGCCATCGCAGGGGATTTTTCGGTGTGCTGCATTCTACACTTGACCCGACTCACGCGACCAAAACGAGCTTCTTTTTGTTTTTTTGGGTGGGGGGGCTGCGGTTTCGGGGGCAGGCGGGGGTTCCATGTGTTTACCCTTTTGGTTGTTTGACCGCATCACCGTCGTGCACAAGGGCGATGTTGCAGGGAGAGCTAGGCTAGAACCCTGCTTTGCCACCGGAGGTGGATTTCATTCGCCGGTTGCGGGTTGATACAGCCAAGCTGTTGGTTCTCGACTACCTGTCCAGTTGCCTAGCTTCTGGCTGCTGGCAGCGTGATTTGTTGTGTCATGTTGTGTCTTTCGAAAAGGCTTCCTGGGTGTAGAGTGATTGGGCCCCCAAGATGTAGGTCTCCTTTTGAAGCCATGCCACACTTCTCAGAGGTACTTGCGGCTCAAGGGGCGAAACTATGGCAGGGCCAATGAAGAAACCGGCTGAGACTGGGCCCTTGAAAGCGGTTTTGTGTTGAAAGGGGGGTTGGCGCCCTTGGACTAGAACAGGCCGAACCGGCTGACTTGACGCGGGGTCAATCAAACCACCTTGAAAACAAAGAGTGGCTTCACGCACGCAAAGGTCCAAGAAATGCGATGGACATGTTCTTCCGGGCAAGTCTGGCCAAGTTTCTTGGATGATGCGCTGGGTGAAAGCAAGAATCCAAGTGTTATAGAATGTCCATAGCTACAGTCCGGACGAGGATTTGATGGCCTGCGCTTAGCTGGCGCTGTTTCTGCAGCAAAGCTTGTGGATTTCTAGGCGGGGTGACTCGTGGATTTCTGGCAGGCAGGGTGATGCGAGGTGGGTCCACCGCGGGCCTTTGGCTGAATTCTTCTGGACAATGTGCAAGCTCGCCTGGAGGTAAACCGAGCTGAATTTCCCATGAAGGTAACACGAGCATGGGGATTCCTCATAGTGCTATACCTGAGCTAAGTGTCAGCCAGCCTGCAAGCGTTGCTCACCATCGCATTGTCCAAAGCCAAGCTTATCCTATGGTGTTTAAAGTCAACTTCCCACAAGGTTAACCTCTATGACAAGATCCTGGCAGAGGTCCCAAAGCAAGCTCGAGCCATCCACCAATGGCTTAGCCTTTTCAGGACAGCGCCCCGAAGGTTGTGTGTGTGTGTGGGATCTCGCAAGCTAGAATCGGAAGAGCCTGCGTCAATCTCATCATGCTTGACCACGAAGTTAAAGCCGGGCACGTTTTGCCATCGACAGCGCGCAGGGCTCGGCCAGTGATGGAGGAGGTCTTTCGGCAGACCCTGGGGCAGTGGTCGCCCAACGGGAAGTACCTGGCAGGGGCGCAGCAGCGACTCCGCCAGATGGAGAAATCCAAGTCGGCAGGGGGCAGGGGGTGTTTTGAATCGGCCATTTCGACTGAAATTTGATCATGATCTTCCCCAGATGGTGGACGACTCGGAAAATCGGTTAGTCAGTGGGGACCTTTCGGCGCTGTTATCAGGGGATTTCTTCTGGGCACATCGCAACATGATGATTCCGGTGCGCACATTCATCCACCAGTTGCGGGCGCTGTTGGACGATTCGTCAGGGCTGGCCTTCGTTGTATGGTCAACAGTCTCTTGATCAGACCGGTGCTTGGGTTCTTCATGATTCTTCGACTGTTGGAATGCGTCAGTTTGTCATGCTGTTACTTTGTTGCTTCTGTTTCTCCCTTTTGGTTTCCTTTCCCACAAGCGTGGAGCCTACCCAAGCTAGGAGGCCACCCTGCTCTCAAAAGAAGAGACATTCTTTTGTGGTTACCGTCTGTTCGGGAGGGTCGGGTCCGCTCCGTTTTGCCGGCAACTCTGTGGCTACCCTTCCAATTAGGTTCCCAGGGCTTTTCCCGTTAGTTTTTACCTACACTATAAGCAATTATAGAAACATTTACATAAACAACAACGTAGGCGACTATTGTTTATGTATTTATTAAAAAAAAGAAAACACACACACACACATATCACCAAGGTCACCTTATAGGTTTTACAAGGGGGTTGCGAGCGGCCTCACTCTCAGGAATCGGCTGCAGATCCGGGAGCCGGATTCCATGAAGCTGCTCCAGGCCAGAGAAATGCGGAGCCCCAAAAACCACGACTTTTGGGGCGGCGTCTTTGGAAGGATTCCTGGTGGCAGTTACAGAGCACCTATTTTTGCCGGCTGAGGGGATCTGAATCCTTGTCAAGCAGGTAGATCTTGGATCCTTTGAGGAACCCTGCGATTGGACTGCTTAATGAACAAAGGGCACACCAAACAGTTGCCCCAGAGGTTTTTTGTTTGGGGGGATTGGCGGTTGGAGGTTGGCCCCACCCAAGATCGACCGAATCAAGTATTTTCACGGTTCCTTTCCTAAAGAATGCAAGCCCACTGGGGAAAAAGGGGTCCAAAATAGGAAAAGGTGCCTGAGGCAGTTTTCTTAGGTGAGAAGTGGATGCGGGCAGCTACAGTCGGAGTCTGGAGACTTGCTTGGACTCGCGGCGATGCTAGGTATTCATTTGCATTGACAAGGTGGAGAGGACTGTGGGTCGGATCTGTGGAAGTGGGGAGGGGCATGCGGGCGTCAGCGAATGCACCTGCCCCAAGGCTCATGACCTCTCCAACGAGAGTCCTGACCCTCCGGCGACATGTTGAAACATCTCATCTTGAGGACGATAAAGCTGGCAGGGAGGGAACAAGTTGGAAGCATTTCTTGCTGTTGATTGGTTCTATTTTAAGCGAGCCCGGAACCAACCGGACTAACAGGGGTTTCAAGCCACGTTCAGCCACGGCCGTTTCAGCCAATGACGCAGGCAAAGCCTCGCATTGCTCCCGACTAACCAGCTGGTTCCCACTGCCAACGGTCAGCCCCCCAAACAGTTGGTACCCTTTGTCTACCGTCCGGGTCACTGGGCTTCTCTGGGCTTACGCCATGGGCGCGATACGTGGCGAGGATCCAGTGGTCCCCAGACAGTCAGTTCTTGCTCACGGAGGTGGCGCGCCAGGGGCTTCTGCAGGTCTGGAGCATGAGGCGATGGCTTCGGGTCGGACCGGTTCGTGCGAAGAAGCCAGTTCCGAGCCCTTTACAGGCGTGGCTTTGCGATGTGCAGTTCAATCTTGGGCTCCGAAATGCCCACGCGCTCTTTGCGACAAGGCCGTGTGATCCAAGATGAACGAAGGGCACAATGCAATCAAGTATGTTGATGATAAACAAACACGAATATGTATGTAAGAGAGATGTATGCATATTATGGGAGTCGTTCTTGTAAGGAGTTTAGTAGGAGTTTAGTATTCGGTGACCATCGGTGTTGGTTGAGGTAGCTCCGCGAAAGATTCGCGATGGAGTTGCGAAAGTAACTTGTTTTTTCGCCAAAGTTTTGCGTAGCTGCATCTTGTAAATCAGCAATATGTGAGAACACACATCTTTTCTGCTGAATCTTCCTTCTAAGCTGCTTAAAACATTTTGTTGTTTATCCCCTGGTAAAGCCTGGTGACGCTACAGTTTGATACCCTGCTTCGCTGGTTAGTGCTCCAGGTGCGCGGGTGTTAGTCGGTGGCTTTAGAAACGTGAGTGATGTTTCGCGAAAGTTCCGCGAAAGATCCGCGAAAGCCCGCGCGAGAGCGCAGGCTTCGATTGCAAGGTACTTTCTGAGCGCCGCGCTAGTCAGAGTACTAGCTTGGTACTGAAAAGTTACAACTTCAAGCTGGGGCTGCGCGGCTTTCCTGCTGGAACTGCGGAAGTGCATTTCGTGTACTGGTGCTGAAAAGTTGCGACTTTCCAGCTGGAGCCGCAGAAGTGCATGTCATGGACTACCCTTGTGATGAAAAGTTGCGACTTTATTTCGCGTACTAAACCGGTACTTAAAAGCTGCGACTTCCCGACTTGAGCAATGAAAAGTGCAAGGCGATGAATCCGCGAAAGATTCGCGAAAGTAACTTTTTTATCCGCGAAGAATGGCCGTTTCGAGACAAAGGAATTTAGAAGAACCACCATATACACACATACATACATACATACATGCATGCATGCATGCATGCATGCATACATACATAAATTCATAAATGCATACATACATAGATAAATAATTATACACACATACATACATACAAAACTACAAAACTACAGAACAACATGACTGCATAGAAACATTACACCATACTAACATACTAACATACATGCGTACATACGACATACGTACATACATGCATGCGTACATACAACATACATACGTGCGCGCGTACGTACGTACAGACACACACATACATTACATATGCATATGCCTACATGCATTACACTACATTACATTACATTACATGCGTACACACGCAGGTGCATGCATTCATACTGACATGCATACATACATACATGCATACATGATAACTTTACATACATATATACTAGTACATACATACACACATATATACATCCATACACACCATTATATGCATAGATACACATGCGTACGTGCATGCATGCATACATCCATACATGCATGCATGCATGCATGCATGAATGCATACATACATACACACAGACATGCATGCATGCGTGCATGCATGCATGCATGCATACATTCATACATACCCATACATACATACATACATACATACATACATACACACATACACACATACACATGCATACATACATGCATGCATTCGTGCATGCATATATACATACATACTGACATACACCTACACACATCTACACACATCTACATACATACATATGTTGTTGCATTACATATGCATACGCATGCATACATAACACGACATTACACCACACTACATTACATTGCATTACGCTACGCTACTTTGTTACATTACATTGCATGCATACATACGCGTACATACATACATGCATGCATTCGTGCATGCATGCATGCATGCATACATGCATACATACATACATACATACAGACACACACACCTACACGCATCTACACACATCTACACACATCTACACACATCTACACACATCTACACACATCTGCACACATCTGCACACATCTGCATACATACATATGTAGTTACATGCACAGTGCGCAGCTACATGCAAATGCAAATTCATAGGCAGGCAGGCAGGCAGGCAGGCAGGCAGACAGACAGACATACAAATATGCATATATACATAGATACAAAGATACATATGTACATAGTTACATAGATACATAGATACAGAGACATACAGATACGCAGACGCAGATATTCATATAGATGCACAGGTGCGTCAGAACATAGATGCACAGACACACATACATAGTACATAGATAAAACACATGCACCCACGCATACATACCTACATACTGACATACCTACCTGCCCACCTACGTACCTTGAGCGGATAATCAAAGAAGGCAGTTTGCGTGCTGCCACTTGTGCCTTTAGAACAGGGCCAGGAAGCAACAGAGAGATAGTTCATCAGTTCCCAGAATATGTCAATTGGCAGGCTTTTGCCACATTCCTGAGCTTGCGATGTGTTGCAGTCCAATTTCGGGTATGCTCAGACCGGCTGCCCCCATTTGTGGGAAGCCCAACATCTCATGACCTCAGGGTGCTGCGTTGACTTTGTTGATGTGCTCTTTGGGCACCCGCCTTTTTTTTTCCTCCTCCGCATTTCGCAGCGTCTTTAAATGGAGCAACCCCGACATGTCTGCCTGTCGCAACTATGGCGGAGCAAGTTCAGGGGACGCTTCACATTGCCGCAGCCAGCGGGCAGCAGTTTGACGTGAAGGTTGATGAGAGTGACACAACTCTTATACTGAAAGCCAAGCTTCGTGATCGAATGGTGGAATCAGGGTTGACTAATGTGGGGCCGTGTGCTGGAATGAATCTTCTCCATGGCATGGAGCTTGCGCATGATGACTGGGTCTTGAAGGATCACGGGATTACAGATGGAGAGCACTTGACGCTAGTAATGTCTTTTTTCCCATTAGGAACCTACAAATTTGTTTCGAGCAGCAACAACGCCCCCGCTGGGCACAATACCTCGGCGAAAGTTCAAGTGTCCTTCCATCCAGAGGGTGGCTTCAGTCTCGGCATCACTGAGACCGAGATCACCGCCTTTGCCCGCTTCCCGGACCATGACCCATATGAGAACGGCGATAGGTATGATCACGAGTACTCCGGCAAAGCAACTGGTGACGGGAAACAGATCATACTCAAAGTCTCAGATTACCAGCGGAAGGGCATCAGATACGCGTCTGACCCTCACGCTGATTTGATAGGCGAGATGGACTCAGCGTTCGAAAAGAAGAATGCCCCCTGCTGGAATCCACATTTTCCTGATGGTAGGTGGTGCATGCATGTCTAATTCAACCTTGCCCCCGGAATTCATGTTTGCTTGAACTTTCCTTTGAATCAAGTTTCCAGGGTTGACACTGATGAGAAACAGTCAGTTCGCCTTGGATGACTTGTACATTTTGGCTCAAGGCAAAACAGGTTGTGCGAGTGAAGCTTCCGGTGCCGCCATAGCACTTTGGGCATACTCTTTACTTGAATTGTCTTGATCCGTATTTCGTCTGGTTATCAGCCGTAGCTTTTGAGCTGCGACCGATAGCTACGGCGGGTGAGGGCGTCGAGCATCCGGGAGTGGCACCGGAACTGTGGAATCTCTTCGGTTGGCATCGAGCCGGACGAAGAGGCAAGTCACAGAAACTTGGTGTACTACGTGACGGATTGGCCGAGGGGGTTTTATCAAACGAACCTCCGTTTGTGCTGGATAGCACCTGGGACAGGCTTGCACGTGCAAAAGTCAACTGGGAACAGCTACAGCTCTACGAACAGGCCTTTTGGAACGAGCAACAGCGTCTGACTGAGGAGCCCCAGAATCATCGGGTGTCTTTTCGGGTTGTGAAGGCAGCGGATCGGTCTGCTCCTCTTAGGCTTGTGCAGCGCGAGTCGCTCCGAGCCGAAGAGCCTGCATCGTCATCTGCGGAGCCTGTGCAGCACAGATTGCTCCAGGCGACCAGCAAAGCTGCGTCGAGGCCAGAGAGCACTTCACGTACGCCGAGGCGCGCTGAGCCTTCCGGGCATCACTTCGCTGCGGTGATTTGTGATTTGACTCTTGCCACAGGAGTATTCAAGTGTGTGAACAGCAATTGGGAAGATCAAGGATTGTCCTTTGTCTACGAGCCGCGCTACGGCATTGACTTTCGGGACAGTTGCGTGGTTGCAATCGACTATCACCAGGTTCTTGACAGAGCCCGTTGCGGACGCACAGAGTGGGATTACGAAGGTATTTGCCACGACAACCTCGAAGCGATTAGGCAGCTGAAAGCCGCTTTCTTTCGCGAAGGTATCCACGTTGTGACAATCTGCCTATCCTACCTCCATAGCCAAGAACGCCGAGACGCATTGGTTGCTGCGTTCAATCGCACTCCGGATATCTCATCAGTTTTTGACTTCATCGTTACAACTTCTGAGAGGGCCAGTTTCAATCCCAGGACCCAGAAAGGTGGGAAGGTGCTAGTCCTTCAGGATCTGCTGTCAGTTGGATTCCGCTCGGCATTCATCGTTGACGACAGTGACGAGGTCATCAACAGTATCATCGATCGCCAGGTACAGGACAAGATCTCGGGCATTCACATCAAGCTTCGCAGAAAGCCACCGGCCAACAATTTGTTTAGGCCAGTCGGATTTCTTGAGGATTGTGTGGCCCATTGGCCGGAGTGCGCCGCAAGGTGCAAGCAGGCATTGCGTCAGTAGCTTTTCCTGTCCGACCAATTTCAAGAAGCAATGGAGCCATCAGAAATAGTTCCAGCTGCTCAGGGATCTGTACAGATGTTTTCACCCCCGCAGGTCGCAGACTCCAGTAATAGTAATGAAGACACTAGCATGTCCACGGCATCATCCCAACCGATGGGAAGTAGGATCAACATGCAAAGTGCTCAGTTGCATCAGCATCATCATTTCTCCCCAAATGTTGAAATGCACGCTCAAGCTCATCACACCCAAGTGTACCAGCCGACCATGGTTGTTCAATCATTGGATCAACAACTGGTCGAAAGAGCTGAAGCGCATTTGAGAGAG